TGCTACTCTGAAACTTGTCATATTCAACAAGGCCACTGATACCAAAGCCCCCAAACTCATCTTCTCACTTGCCACCCTAGGACGTAAACAGGTCACCTCTGATCCAACCCACGCAGCTGGTCACACTTTGGACCTGTTTTTTGACCTAGATGTCAAAAATGGAGGACATCACAACCCAGCCACTATCTTAGACAGATGATCACCTCACAAAGGCAGTGGTCAGAGACCTTCCAGCATCCAGGCAACAAGAAGGTCCAATGATCCTGATTCAACCACGAAGACTCATGGACTCCAACCAGTTCCAAAGCCTGCCAAAGGACAATAGCACTCCATCCACAGGACGAGGGGTTGAGAATCTAGTTACCATTCTACAGTCAGCCACTGACACACTGGCTCCCACATGGCCCCTTCCTCCACATTGCTCACACATCTCCGTGGCTACTGGCACCTTACGCTGGGTGAAGAGAGAGGGATGGAAATTTGAGTACTGATAGAAGCAAACAAAGGCTGATTCAGAGAGGATGAAACATAACAAATTCCTCAAAGTCTAGGCCAAGGCTATATTATAGGCCAAGAGAACCTTCCTATCAGCCTCCACTGTGGCTGCCAAATCCCTCCCCAAGCAGTTATCCAGGATGGTAGACAGCTTCACTAATCCTGAATGATGACGACCTGCTGTGGAGCTGAGCACTAAGTGCTGTGAAGATCTATCGTCCTACTTCACTGAAAACATCACGCACCGTTAGGAAGCCTTCTCAAACAGCTGGGATCCACTTCACCTCCACCCACCAACCAAACAGCCCACCTGCATTCCCAGCGTTCATTCGTCAAGAAATTCTCAACACCTTAAAGGAGTCTTAACCCAAGAGCTGTGAATCTGACCCATGCCCTTCCTGACTTGTGAAAGAGTCTTGAACAACTGGTGCCACTCCTGACTGAAATGATCAGTGCCTCATTCACAGAAGGAAACTTCCCTTCCTCCTTCAAACACACACTAGCCTAACCAATGCTGAACTAACCCACCCTGGATGCTTCGGTCCTAGCCAACTACCATCCACTGTCAGACCTCTCATTCCAAGCTCATAGACAAGCTAGCAAAAGGTGAACGACAAGCTCATGTAACTGAAGCCAACGTCCTAGACAGTCTCATTCTGGATTCAGGCCAGGACAAAACCAAAACTGCCCTAGTGGCACTTTTGGATGATCTCCTCCTGAAGCGGATAGAGGAGAGAAAGATCCATTCTCATTCTCCTGGACTTCTTGACAGGATTCCACAATGTTGACTGAGATTCTGTTGTCTCGCCTGAGAGAGATGGCAGGGATCCAGGGTAATGTGCTAAAATGTCTTAAGCTCTTTCTGGAGGGATGCATCCAACAAGTAGTGCAGGGAAACTGCACCTCTCCTACCAGACTACTCACATGTGGAATTCCACAAGGATCAGTTCTCTCTCCAATCCTTTTCAACATCTACATGCAACCATATTCACACACATGACCACAGCACTACCACCAAGAGGGCCTAGTGCTTGGATAAGATCAGCTCACGGGTGAAGAACAGCTAGCTGAAGCTGACCCTGAGCAAGACAGAGGTGATGCTAATGGGCAGAGGAAAGTATCTTGAAGAGCTTTCAGCTATGGTGCAGTCTTCATTGGTTGAAGATACACACCCACTCCCTCCACGACTGTAATAAGTGTTTCATAACTGAGTGCCATGGGAGTGCCTGGCCAGTTGGTGAAATGGATTTAGTTTAGTGTCCCTTGTGAGAGGAGAGAGACAGGGCTCAGGTGTAACAAACACACAAGGAATCTTTACTTAGGACACTCATGGCTTTGCTGTCTGGCTCACAGACTGTGCTGCACAGGATTACTGCAGACAGACTGCCTAACTCCTGGCCAGGATTAAGCACTCAAGGAATGGATTGCTGACTATCCTTTGCGCATGGTTCTAGTGGCTGCTCTGTTTGCAGTGAAAGGAAATCCCACTGCTAGCTAGAGTTCGGCAATGCGCAAAGTAACCCAGGTTAAAACTTCAGAGACATATTTTGCCTGGTACTCACCAATTGCTCCTAAAGTGACAAATGCATTCTGCCGGGGGCTGATGTACTTGTCGTAGGGTCGATTGCCGTACATGTGAGCCGCGCTGTTGACCAGCCAGGTGACGTTGAGAGAGACGGTGTAACGAAGGATGGAAGCAAGGAAGTAGGAATTCCACAGACTCTCCCCCCAGATGTACCAGGGCACCAGGGTGGGGATCACAAAGCACATTAGCACTACCGAACTCTTATAGTACCTACAGGGAGAGAAAGGGACAAGAACAACAATATTATTGTGACAGGAGGGGAAGCTGCATGGTTACTGAACTGGACTAGGATTCATGATACTTGAGTTCAATTTCTATCTCTGCTACAGACTCCCTGTGTGGCTCCCTGTGTAGCAGGTCATTTCATCTCTCTGTGTCTGGATTCCTCATCTGTAAAATGGGAATAATAGTACTTCATTTGGCCTAGCAGTCTATTTAGATAGTAAGCTTTTGGGGTAGGGGCTGTCTCTTGCTATGTGTGTGTATACTGTGGCTAGCATGATGGGACCCTGAGCTCATTCAAGGTCTCTCAGTGTTACTGTAATATAAATAATAATAATAATAATATTATATAAAAATATATTTTAAATGAAAATCTGGCATGCAGTTCCTGTAACTCCTCCTTTTCTCTAAGCCTTGTACAGAGCTATTTGAGAGATTTATTTTCTTTAATAGAGAAGAACATCTGTATATTTCACTGGCTATTGGGCAGTTTACTCACTTGGTGCTGAACCATGAAGTTTTAACTCATTTCTGATAGCCATATGTGCTAGTGTTGCCTAGTGGACAGAGCACGGGAGTAGCATTAAGGAGGTCTTGGGTTAGTCCCAGCTTTGCCACTGGCTTTCTGCATGACCTTGGGCAAGTCACTTCACCACTCCGTGCCTCAGTTTCCCCATGTGTAAAGTGGAGGTAAGATGATCTATGGATGAGAAGCCTTATGTAAAAGAAAGGTATTATCATTATTAATCCAAAGAAAGTTCACTGGAACAGAACTGCAGCAGATGAGGAGCCGTGCACATTATCAACTCACTCCAGCAGGGGAAAAACAGTCTAAAATCTAGCTGGTTTTCCAAACTGAAACAAATAGCATCAGAGCAGATGTTAGCTGCATTCAGCCATTTGGACCTTAATTTGTTTTTGCACAAAAAAACTGGTGCTGACTTAAAGTAAAGTAAATGCAATCTGCCCTCAATTTTACCTTCAAGTGCAGATTTCGGCTTTATTAACACAGACAACATTTTCAAACCATTATTCAGAATACTCAGAAACAGTTGCCAGCACCCATCATGCATTAGGAAGGTAACAAACAATTTTTCATTCTTAAAAGCTTGTTTCCTCCCTCCCTTTCTCCCTGCCTTTGTGGTTATGTTTCCAACAGCCCACTCCAAAAAAAAGTGTGAAGATTAATTACTCATGAGCGGTAAGGCCAATACACCGCTCGTTAAATGTCAAGAGCTTTTCTGTTCCTCCACAAGAATGTTAGTAGTGGAGCGTTCGGTAGTTTTGTTTCAGTTCTCTCCTTGCCTATTTGTCAGCTGCTGTCAATAGGCTACATGGAAGATGTGTCGGCTTTTAATGGTAAATTGTGCAGGCTGACTAAAAAAGGAATAATTAAAAGACTTTGCTGAAGGGGAAAAAAATTACCATAAAATTGCAGCTGTTTTCTGTCAGAGTGAAAATTGCATTCAACATTAATCTGTCTACGGGGAAAAGACAGGTAACGTCGGCTAAGCCGGGGGAAGGCTGAACGCAGCAGGGGAAGTTCCAGATATGCATAACTCGCTTGTTTTGTGTTTCAAGGGGAAAAAGGACTGTGATTCAAGGTTCTGTGACAGTCAGAGTATTTAAAGGCATAAATTACAATTGATCAAAATACTAGAGCTCAAACTGTACAGCGCCAACCCCCCCCCCCCCCCCGTCTAAACACCCTGGAACTTTGCGAAAGTTCCACTTTGGCTGCAAACTTTGCAACTGGGGCCTGTCTCTATGAAATGCACCAAAGACCATTTGCCCTATGTCCCAGAATGGCAATTAAGGTATATCAGCTGGGCTGGACTGCCCAACTACATTTGTGTCAAATGCACTATTATCCTACAGCTAGTGAAGATTCTTCTTGAGCGCCATCTGTAGGAAACACTGGTTTTGGAGCAGGGATATTGGCGTTCTCTCCCCACTCCTGCATAAAGCACCAAACAACTGCAGCAGCAGAGTGAAAACAGCCGTGAATAAAAGACTTAAGAGGCTACAGGTCTGTTACAATACATATGAAAGTTCTGACTAGGCACATTGAGCCCTGATTAATTTCCCTAGCAAATCACAACTTGCACTGGCAGTGATCCCATGCCCTTAGATCTGCTAATCACTTGAGATTAGCAATAGGATGGACCGAGAACTTTGATGCTAAGCAAATAGCACAGATTCAATAAGAGGAGAATTATTATGCAGGTTCATGTTTGTCGATATTTTGGTATTGAAGCACGTTGAGCATGTTGGCCATTGGCACGGTTTTTATTTTCACTTCCACTACTCAGATCACAAAGGCACAAACTCCTCCATAAAGGAAGAAGAAAATTAGAAGATCTGCTCTAGCTCAAGCAGAAGTGAAGGGCAAGAATTATTGGGAGAGGTTCTATGGCCTACATTAGAAGTCAGACCAGACCATAATGGTTCCTTCTGGCTTCAAAATCTGACTGAAAATTCTGTCATTTAAGTGGGTAACACAGGTGTAACTGCGAGAAGATTTTAGCCTTTTATTTTGTTTTTTAAAATCTTCTGGCAGCGAGGCTGATTTGATTGGGCACCAAGTCCCTATCACTAGGGTTACCATACGTCCGGATTTTCCCAGACGTGTCCGGCTTTTTGGGCTCCAAATCCCCGTCCGGGGGAAAGCCCAAAAAGCCGAGACGTCCGGGGCCGGCCGGCCGGCGGTGCGGTGCCTGGCTCGGGGGCTCCGGCGGGGCCGGGCCCGGGGCTCGGGGGCTCCGGCGGGGGCTCGGGGGG